AGCCACTAATATAAAACTTTTGGGACAAAAAAAATCTGAAGCAACCATAACAGCAGATAAACTATTAACAACTCAAGAAAACATTTAAGTCACAGCATTTGCCATATAAGCTAGAGGAAGTGCAGCTGAAAGCCTTTTTAAAGCAAAGGGTCATGTTGATGATCATTGTTAGTATACATTTATATGCTGTCCAACTCTCATCTGTCAGTTAATTCCATAATAAGGCATATAAGCAACAGACTATATTTTGTGGGTAGAAGAAATGCCTTTTCCCTAAATTCCCTTATATGCATTGTCTAACCTAACCTAGTAATTATATAAGGCAGTAATAATGCCTTATAATTAACAAAAAGACTTTTTTTCTCCAATATCACATTTGTCAGATTTTTAGCTTTAAGCTAACCTCGTTGCTCTTGTGGTTTCTTTCAAGATTGACTTGATGCCACATGATCTCATAACACAGCTCCTGCGAGTTCTGGCCATTGAGACAAAGCAGGAAAAGGCCATAATCAATGCTGATCCAACAGAGCTCTCTCTGAGTGGCCTGGAAGCATTTTCTTTTGATTACATTGTGAAATGGCCATTGTCTCTCATCATCAACAGGTAAGCCAAGGAGATGAATTTCTGCCAGAAAGAACCACATCATTTATATATTGCTGTCAGTATAATTTTGGAGTGGTTTGATCACTGATTATTTAATCATCTGGGGTCCCAATATAGGAAATGTTTAGGATGGACTAAAAACTGTCCATACCTGGATGGGCAGTGTGATGGCTCAATGGTTAAGATGCTAGCTTGTCGGCTGGAAAGCTGACTGCCCAGATTCGAGACCTGAGCATCACGCGACAAGGTGAGCTCCCATTACTTGCCCCAGCTTCTACCAACCTATCAATTTGGAAGCATGCAAATGCGAGTAGATAAATAGGTACCACTTTGGTGGTAAGGTAACAGCGCCCCATGTTTTGCCACGTGCTCTGCGCTATAGACTGATGTCATGTTGGCCATATGACTGGAAAAATCTTTGGACAGTCCTGACTCAATGACCTTGTAATGGAGATATACACCACTGCCTAAAATCGGTTACAACTAGCGGAATAAAATCCTCAAGGACTTCTTTACCTTATGTGTACATAAATTTCCTTCTGAGAAAATTTAATGCTTGCTTAGCATTTGTTTGTAATTCAGAAATAGTGTAAGATTTCACTTCTATCTGTTGCTATCTTTGTACTTGACTTGTAGAAAAGCCTTAACACGGTACCAGATGCTCTTCAGACACATGTTTTACTGTAAACATGTGGAGCGGCAGCTGTGCAATGTCTGGATCAGCAGCAAAACAGCTAAGCAGTGTTCCCTACATTCATCAAAATGGTAAATGATCCTTCAGTGTTCAATGGGCTAGAAATAGTTTTTCAGCTATTTATGCAAACAGCCTTCTATCTCCGACATCTAGTAATACCCTGCCAAGGAATGTTTCCCAACCTAGAAATTCTTTGTCTCCCATTATGGAAATACAAGGAGGAATCTTAGTACTTTCTGAATAAATCGTTTTTGCCATTCTAAAAGTGAAGGAAGTAAAAAGAAATTGAAAAGCAGGTAGAGATCTTATTTATGTTAATGGTTTCCAGCTTTCACCCCACTTTTCCTCCAGTTAAATGTTTTGATCGAAAGCTGAACATCAAGTATATTTGAAAGTTAAGTAAATTTGAAGCTGAAGCTGCTTCTTAGAAAACTGCTTTGTAATGACTGAAGTTGTTAGTACTTCAGTATTATCTTCAGTGATGGGGGTGACTCTTCTAGATTTTTGCCATTTCTTTCTCCACACTAGTTATCAAGGTCATGGACTCAGCCTATCTACTTGCAAAGCATAGCGGTAACTGTGTTTGCATAACACATTAAGTCAGGAGTGTTAAACTCAAGGCCTGGGGGCTGGATCCAGCCTGCGGAGTGCTTAGATCTGGCCCACAGGGCCACCCTAGAAACAGTGAAGGACTGGCCTGAGTGCCTCTCCCAACAAAATCAGAGCTGGGAAGGGCTGCATGCGGCTCTGTCGAGCTCTGTTTTCACTAGGAGAGGGTTGCAGGAGGCCATCACAGCCAAAACAGCTTGGAAGCATCTGTGCCACAGATGCTCCCAAGATGAGTGATGCCGAGCTGGCCGCGCCCAGCCTAGCCCCACCAAGGTCAAACACAACCCTGATGCAGCCCTCAATGAAATTTGAGTTTGACACCTCTGCATTAAGTCATATGAACAGTTCATGAGATTATTCACTCTTTGCCCTTATACAAACTTATGTGGCTCATTAGCTGCCATTGAAGGCTTATCTAAAGCATAATATATCCCTGAAAGTGAACTAGCTGTTGTTTAGATTTGTGAAAACTAAAATTGAAACCTACAACAAGCATTGATTCTGTATCCTGGTTCCTGCAAATAAAGCAACAGCCACTCCAAATTCAGAGGCATGTTACCTGTCAGTGGCAAACTTGCACTTCCTACCCTGATAATCTCTTTTGAGTTTGTTGTCCCCTGATAACTTCATCAACCCTAATTAGTGTATTCTTCCTTGGGCTCACTGCTCCTCTCTTTTTAGGTTTGCGGGTGCTTTTACTCTGCGTCAGCGGATGCTCAATTTTGTGCAGAATATCCAATACTATATGATGTTTGAAGTGATGGAACCCACATGGCATATTTTGGAGAAGAATCTGAAGTTGGTTAGTCTGGATCAAACTATATTAGCTGGAATAACTAAAGAGTTAATTGTGCTGCTGAGTCAAAACTATAGGAGCTAGTAGGTTTCTGCCATCTATTCTGCCTATTAGCAAAGCTGTGAAGGTCTTATACTGGGGAAAAAAACTCCCACTACTAGACTGTAAGTCTTCAGAACATATTCTATATTAAGCAGGCTGGATGAAATTTTTGGTAACCTATGGCAACTGAGCAATTGGATAAACATTCTTTTCAAGTACAACTATTAGAACAAATCTTAACAATTCTTCAAACCACAAATGCTCCTGAAATATACCTAGCTGTCTAGACAGAACAAAGATCACCAATCCTACCTTGAGCAGTTACCATCCTTTTTTATTAGCTATTGCTAATCTAGCTTCCTTACTGGTTTAAATATTTGGGAAGATGGATGTTTCCCGGCTATATCATTGCTGCAGTTTGGCTAGGTTCACATAATATGTTCTAGCCAGGCCAGTAAAAACAAAGTAACATTCACACAACATGCTCATGTGATTAATTTTAGTGTTGGTTACTTGGTTTTATTCAGTCTCCAGCTCACTTGATTGATTTCGTAAACCTTGAAAACCAGTTAACTTCCAGATTGAGTGTTGAGTAAATTGAGGGTTTTGAGCAAACTAATTCCATATTCCTGCAGAAAACATATCTAGAACTGATAGCTGGAAGTTGTATGAAAGCCAGTATTAGCTACACTTTAGAGAGAAAAATTCCTCCAAGCCTTGAGGACCTGAAGGCTATTTGAAGATAAATATTTAAATTAAGATTGGCCACCACTTGTGTGAAAAACTAATTGGATTCTGTGCTGCAGAGCATCAAACAAGATTACACCAGATGACTTCTAACTTCCATGATTGCTGGAAGGATTTATTGATGTTATATCTTCTTCAATAGGCCTCCAATATTGATGACGTCTTGAGCCACCACACAAGCTTCTTGGATAATTGCTTGAAGGATTGCATGCTTACCAATCCAGAGTTACTAAAGATTTTTTCCAAGCTGATGTCTGTGTGTGTTATGTTCACCAATTGCATGCAGGTATGTTTCACGTAGCTATACCTCTTCTAGATTTGTTGAGAAGGGCCACCTGCTAGTGTATGTAGGACCTCAAAGGCGATATATGTGTGCTTTGGAACATGAACCTTAACACTTGTTGGAAGTATTTTAAAGCGCCTGTGTATAGTACTTAAGTACTCCTTTTTCCAGGGTTACACAGTTGTCTGGAAAAAAAATGCAATGTTTTAATTTATTTACAAAATGTGTCAATTGCTGCAATTGTACCAATTATTGGCAGGATACAAATAAGGTTTTTTTTTAAATCAAGTAAAATTATTAGCTTCATGGCTGCTGCAGGTCAAAAATCTGGGAGGGCAGATGTGTACCATCCAACCACATTTCAATAATGCAAATTAAGCTTAGGAAATTGTCCCTTACCATGTCTTAAATATAATCTTTAGAGCAATACTGTTTTGAAGATAGGCAGTATGCAATAGGCACTAAGTTCATGCTCTCACATGCTCCAAAACATGAAAAATTATGCAGAATCCTAATATGCATTTTAAATATTCCATCCTTTCTGCTTTTCTTTCTGCTTGTTAGAGATTTTCCCACAGCATGAAGCTAGATAAGGAAATGGACCGCCTCACTGTAGAGCATGGGACTATGAGAGGCCCACCCACTAAACAGGAAAGAGTAGAAGAATCCGCAAAGAAGCAGCTTGCTAATAAGGTATGTTGTGGGTCCCAGGCTCTTCCCACTACCTCTCTGACTCTAACACAGCACTTGAAAATGTTAGGCCATTGCATTTTTGTGCTGTATCAGAATCACTGAGTCACACAAATGGTTTGGTCAGCTAAACCATGTGTATGTTTCATTTTGGTTTACGTGAATAACAGAGTTGGAAGGGACCTTGGAGGTCTTCTGATCCAACCCCCTGGTCAAGCAGGAAACCCTATGTCATTTCAGATAAATGGTGGTCCAGTCTCTTCTTAAAAACCTCCAATGTTGGAGCATCCATAATTAATGGAGGCAAGCCGTTCCACTAATTAATAGTTCTAGCTGTGAAATGAACCTATTAAGTTAACAGAATATAGTTTATGGCTAAATGGTATTTGAAAAAATGCCATGTGGGAAAGTGCAGAACCTTTTCTCTTAACGCTGTACAACCCTACAAATTGCTTTTCTCAGTAGCATTTGCACATTCTTAAAGTCTTTTGGTGCCTTGATGTCCTTTGATGTTCTAAAAAATCGATTTGCTGTGAAATGTACATGAAACAACCTAGGATTGCAGAAGTCTTCCACTTGCAGTTTTAGTCTTTGGGGGATGAGAAGAAGAAATGATACTTTATTTCCTGTATTTTGTGTTTTCAGTTTTTAGCAGAGCAGGCAGACTCCTTACATGTAAGTTCTGGCTTTGAGGCAACAATAAACAAGTTTGACAGCAATTTCTCTGCACATCTTCTGGACCTCCTGGACAAACTGAGCATTTACAGTACCAATGAATGTGAACACAGCATGATCAATATCATTTACAGGTGAGCAGAAATTTTTCTCCCAGAAAAAAAAATATTCCTCTTCCTCAGTAATCTGTTGCGTATAAAACTCTAGAGAGCAAGAGTTATCAATGGCTATGCTGGTAGTGTGTGTATACTCACTTCAGGATCAGACTCTATGGCTTTCCATTCCTGTTGCTGGAGAACAGGTTTTGCCCTTCACATCCTAGTTGCAACCCTCCTAATCTGATGTGGCCATGGGGAAGCAGAAGCTGGGCTAGATGGACTTTTGGGTCCAGCACAGCTCTTATTTCAGTTCTTCCCATGGTCCACCCATGTAAACCCTACCCTTTCTTTTCTAGATTGGACTTCAACGGTTTCTACACAGAACGACTGGAGCATATGTCTGCAGAAAGGAGCCAGAAGACTGTTTTGCAAGTTGCTCCTCCTCCCAGGGTTGCTGTCCCCACTCAGTGAAAGGCCTGGTTTTTGGGAAAGTAATTTTCCCAAAGAAAAGTGGGAAGAGTTAGGGGCCAAGTCGAGAACAACATGGCTTCATCAACACTTATGCCACACAAAAATTGGTTTCATCAACTTATGTCGCACAAAAGTTGAGGAACAGCAGTGGAAGTATAAAATACAAACTCTAGCAACAATAGTGTATATAAAGGATTGTGACTCTGAATGCTTCTATATTTTTAAATCCAAGCATTTAAATTCAAAATTTTCTGTATTGTAAGTAAAAACTAGTGTTTCTAAGTGGCATCTTTGTTCTTTAAAAATGTACTTTTATATGTTTAAGTCCTAATTGTGTCAGTGACTGCTCAATTCAGTCAAGAAATAAGATGCCAACTATTTTGAGCAGATATTAACAATTTGGAGTAGAATCAGTAATATTACATGAACTTTCATGGACATTGTTCACTGCTACTAGCCAACTCATTTTAGTATTTGCACTTTTGCCAAGATCTTAACCATCTTCTGTTGTGTACACTCCATTCAGATAAAGTTTCATTAAACGTAATCAATTTCATCTGCAGTCTGGGTTGTATAAACCTATGTACACGTGCATGGGAAAATCAATGAACAAGAGTCTGATGAGGGAATTCTGTGCATTGGGAATAGCAGCAGAGGAAGCAGGAGTTTAGATCTATTAGGCACGTTGGGAACTATTGTTGGAACATAGCCACCAATGCCACTGTGAAACGAAATCATTTTGATGTCCTGAATTTCACATTGACGGATACCAGAGGAATTCTGGAGGGAAAAAAAATCAAGTTGCAAAGGCGGAATTTGAAAAAAGACTGCCAAAGATAAAGGAATAGAAAGAAAGCAAACTGGATGTCAGAACAGAGATGGAAACGAAGAAAAGAGGCAAAGCTAAGAAAGATTCAGCAGGGAAGATCTTCAAAATGAACTTAGCAGTTATTTCAAAAAGCCTTTGGAAGATACAGTAAGTAGTATTGCAACAATATCTGTAAAATCACAAGACATGGAGAGTTCCAAAAGATCTCTGAACTTGGAAGGCTGCTGCCTTGAATTGATATGCTAAAAATCACCCATTGTCAGGTAGTAACTGATTCCAAGAAAATGAAACAAAGATGGGAGAAATTACTGAAATTTTGTACCTTAAAAATGTCATTATCCAAGATTCCTTAGACACATTCCATACTTTCAGGAAACTTTCCATACTTTCAGATTAGTATTAGATGATGAAATCAGAGCAGCGCTCAAGTCAAACCTACAAGAACTGATAGACTATCTACAGAAACATGGCAAACAATAAAAGAATTGTAAAAGTTCTAACCAGATTATCACACAAAATCTGAAGAATGACACCATGGCCAATAGTTTGGAAGAGTTCAATACATGTACCAATGCCAAATAACTTAACAGAATATGCAAACTATCATGATGTATCCCATATACAAGCAAAATAATGCTTAGGATCATCCAATCCAGATTAAAATTCAAGAAGGAAAGGAAAATGCCAGGCTGATTTAGGAAAAAAAAGGATAAGATACATCATTGCTGGTGCATATTGAATAATTAAGAAAACCAAATACAAAAAGAAGTCAGTATCTGCTTCACAGTTGTAAAAAGGCTTTCAATAGTTTGAAGTTGTACCAATGTTCTGATGAAAATGGAAATCCCAGAATATTTCATATAAAACATATATAAAGACTATCCAGAAGTGACAATTTGGAGAAAACTTTTCAAAACTGACTGACCCCAGGACAAGAAAGGACTAAGGGTGGCTGTTTAGTCTCCTATTTACTCAACCTATATCTTGAATATGAATCAAGACACTGAAGCTTGGTTAGAAAAATTATGTGCATAGTTTTAAAACTGAAAAAAAAACTTGCATTATTATGCTGATATTAATCAAATAAATGAAAACTCCCAGGATCTGTAAGCTCAAAGCCAAGCAGCAAAATGGGGGGGGGGGGGGGGGGGG